GATGTATGGGGGGGTGGGGGGGTGGGGTGTGGGGGGGGGGGGGGGGGGGGGGGGGCAGCTTCCAGGGAGGGGGGAATTAAACACATGAACAAAATGCCCCAAAGTACTTGTACGCGTGATTGTAGTAGTTGGAAAAGTATTTACGTCAGAACGACTTTATTTAACGTTGAATTCATTTTGTTTTTGTGTGTCACTTCTGTCTTTATTATCTGTGTCACGTCTCCTCTCTGGAACGTTCTGTGTCCCACAGATCTTCAGGGACTTCGGGGAGGTCAACGTGGACGTTTATCTGGCTGCCTGTCAAGGTGAGACAACAGACAACAGACCAAATATGTCCTTGAAGCAGAGTCAAATCTTCTGATTAGAGGTGTATGAAGGATGGCAGTCTTCACCGTCTGTCTCCCGTCTCCACGCCTGACTCGTGTCCTCCCCCTCTGTCCCTCAGCCTGTGTCCTGGAGCAGCTGGAAACGGCAGCCTTCTTCTCAGAGTCCATCCCTAAGAGCCGGGTGTTTGTCACAGTTCATGATGCTGTGCTCCATATCCTGAAGAAGAAGAAGGAGCAGCAGTCGGACTGTTCTACAGTGGTGGGTCACCTGGGGGTCACGTCCCTCGTCTTCACCCACCGCTCAGTACTGAGTACTGTTTAACTCTCTAAATGTGCTTCTTTCGTTCAAGGACGTTTCCTGCAGCACTCAGATGTAACCACCAGGGGTCAGAGTGGCTCTCGCCATTCCTCCTCTACTCCTCTTACCTCAGACCGCTGGCTGTTCCACCCCCACCCACCCTTCACTTGGGGGGAATTACACACTTGGAGATGTTGCGTGTTGCCATGGAAACACAGGAAGTTGTTGCTGTGGCAATGGTCATTTATGAATTTATGATATGGTCTAAGGAAACGGGTAGCACACATCACCAGCTCCCTCCATACAGTGGAGTGTGTGTGTGTGTGTGTGTGTGCGGGGGGGGGGGGGGCCTAGCTATGTAGTTATTGCTCATGTGACAGGGCAGCAGGCGATCAGGGGTCAACGATGAAATGAAAATATACTATAGACACCAATATAAAAAATACAGGTGACCACTAGGCGAACAGTGAGTGACATGAGGTCATGACCCCATCAGTGTGTTCCTGTAGTAGTGGTTGTTGTCACCGCAGGAAGTGTGACTGTTGAACAGGGTTTTAGAACATTCAGAACAAGACCACACTTTCAATCTCTGTCCTACCATTGGCTGATCCAGGTGAAACATTCATTTTGTTCTCTTAATAATAATAATAATAATAATTAAAAATATTTTAAAAAACATTATTATAGAATCATAACAACAACCTCACACATAAACTCTTAGACAAGAAGTCATTTCCAGACGAAGGAGAATTTATGAAAACGTGAAGAGCAACATGAATTCTCAGCAGGACTGACAGAAGGATGAATGGTTGACTTCCGGTTAGCAACACTACAGTACAATAAAGACGAGTGATTGTAGAACATCCTGTGAACGTGTGTTCAGTCAGTCAACAGTACTAGACAACAATACCAGACAACAGTACCAGAACCGGACGTTCCTCCACCGCACCATCCGTTCACCGCGTTCGGCTAAATGCTAACGCAACTGGTTGTAACGTCGCCATTAAGTTCCGGGGTGAAACACGGGTCTTTTGGTTCAGTTCCTCTGCATCACCATGGTAACCACGTTACCAACGTTGAGAAAACCTCAGAATCCTGGGACTCCGGAGAGGCTCCCACATCACCCGGGCGGGCCGGCTCGTGCAGCGCGTGGATGTCATAGAGCACGCTGATTGGCCAGGTCACCGACCGGTGTGGTGGGAGTCTGTCACGACCCAACCTGTGGTGCGTTCACTGACTGATAAGAACTTCAGTTAACGGCTTCATTAATCTGTAACTATTAAACAAACATCGCTCTTTGAACCTTTGCTGTATTTTATGATTATTGTTATCAATGTGCATGTTTTTACATCTTTATTGTTTCAGTGGAAAGAGTCACACACACACACACACGGACACACACACGGACACGGACACAGAGCCGAGTCCGTCTGTATCTGTCTCTTTATTGCTGTTTCTTTCTGATCTTCTCCCGCCTCACTTCCGGTCTCCCGCTCTTTTCACAGTTCCGTTTGTCTCCATCTCTCTTTCTGTGTAAATATTGTTAACACTGATTTGACCCTACGATACACCGGTTAGTTAGTTCATAACACACAGCAGGAACTGGTTTCTTCTTCTGGTTAGTCGCTTTTTGATGAACACAAGTTAGTGATTTTGCACAGCCAATGAGGAGAGTTAACAATGTCGAACGTAAATGAAGACGTCACAGTCCAACACTCTGGGTCACACACACCACGACGATATCAGCAGCAGAGGTGAAGAAGAGATGTTTGAAAAGATTCACACTGGGCTGCTGAACTGGGACGAAGAGGAGGAGGAGGAGGAGGAGGAGGAGGAGGAGGAGGAGGAGGAGGAGGAGGAGGAGGAGGAGGAGGAGGAGGAGGAGGAGGAGGAGGAGGAGGAGGAGGAGGAGGAGGAGGAGGAACTACTGCAACAACAACACTGGACGAAGAAGACACGGAACAAGACGAGACTGAACATCACGGGGGAGACGGGGGGGGGGGGGGGGGGGGGGGGGGGAGTCTGCGAGGTAGAGTCCAAAGGCAGAACAAACACCAGGCGAGAAGGAAACGAGAATTCTTCTTTTTGTTTTACATCTATTTTTTAGTCCATTCATCCAAAGACATGATG